TTACATGTAATTATCTGGCTGAAGCAGATGTTGCATGCTTGGTCTCTTGCTTGCTATCCAGGAACTGGTTCCAAACTGCATGGATTTAGAGCATATGCGTCGTTGTCGCTTGCATTTTTTAGCCCGTGACTGAACGCAAGTAACGACACTCCGACACCGTGTTTCCAGACATCCGTCCAGGCAACAAACAATTACACAGTGCACCTGCCATGCCATCATCAAGGCATCCCCCCATCCATGCACATCAAGTGAATGCTTTCATGCCATGAGATACGTCAGGTTCAATCTCCGCCATCATTGTATGTCTAAATTCAAGCTAGCGCGCCATTAGTTCCTGAGCATGGCGAACCAAGCCGCCGCGTCGCCCTCAGTATACACAGGCTTAAGGGGCATGTCACGTCACGTCTTGAAAATTGCATAGGGCTCAAAAACAAAGGCCACGAGTAGCGGACTTGGCGCACTCGTGTTCGCAATTCTCGCCGAGATGCTGCAGCGGGCTGCCTCTTCCTCGGACAGACTGCAGTGGATAGCAACACGCGGAAGTTTGTATGTTGGTGGATTGTCCGCTCGCGTGTATGAGGTGAAGCGGCGTCAATACTGGTTGAGCTTTAACAGGACCTTCCACGAGATTCCCATCACACAGGCGTGCCCTTCGCATCTTTGGCGCTGTGTCTGAAGCTTTGCCTGCCGATTGCGATTTTGCATTGTAATTGCAATCGCTCCAGGGCTGCTGGATTTTCCGTCGCTCGGCGGATGATTTGGAAGAAGAGGAGGAAGAGGATGAGGAAAAGATTGTTTTGTTGCCTCAGGCCGGGTGCTTTCTCAGATACGGGGTGTTGCTTACACCAGCCTGCTGTTTCAGTTGGCCAGGCTCAGCCAGAACACTTCGACTGGCTGCAAGCACTTGCTCCCGTGCGCATGCACCTGCATTCGGCCAAGGCCTGGGCTTTGGTCTCTCACGTAACCCTCTGCTGAATTGGCCGCACGCTCGAAGGTTTTCCGCGGCTGGGAGGGTGACCTGCTGCTGGTGGCGTATCTCCGTCATCCAGCACGTTGCCTACCAGCACCTGCTTTGGCAAAACTCTGTGAGGCAAGGCTGGTGTGCATGCTACCGGTCTATCATGTACAGCTTGCTGGAGATTTGACACGCGTCAGGCTGTTGGGGCGACGGCTTTCCAACCGCTGAATGCAATTGAGCGCGGGGTCGGGCAAGTGTGGTTCGGTGCGGCCTTTGTACCCGACGCGCCAATGCAGAAGTTGGTGGCGTAGCCCAAGAGAAAGCACCGCAGCCCCAAGTAGAAGGGCATTTAGTAACTAGTATGACATGAATGTCCAGCATTTAAGCTCATGCAGTTTGACTTTGGATATTGTACATCATTTGGAAATGTCTTGCAACTGTGCAGCACATTCTGCATGTGAGAAGGATGTGGATAAAAACCAGCGCGGCAGATTCCGGCTCACAGCAAGCAGAAGAGAACAAAACGTGACCTACTACAACCATGTTTCAAGATAAAAGAAAAGCACACAGCATGAACATGTTCACGCGAGTGTCTTGGCATACTGCGACCGACTTGCCCAACCCAACAACAGTGCTTGGTTCACACAAGCCTGCTAGATAACAGCCATCAGTACATACCAGAACGAATTCGAATAGGGGGTACCACAAGGTGCCGCCATTATGGGTCATCATAAGCCATGGCCTGAAGAGGAAAACCCACAACCAATTGTCAAAATGGACGAGCCCTTTGTTTCATCTTGACTTTACCTGCAGGAGCAAAGTAATTTTCGCAAGCGGGTGATCATCCAGACGACAAAAGGCCGGAAAAAAGATCCGCATGAAGACAGCATGAATTTAATTGGAAAGTTTAGTACCCGCCTTTCCAAAGCAACATACATGGAATCACAATCACAGCTCTTCTCGCCCGCGAGGCATTCAGATGCGACCACTCGATTTGCAAGACGCCTTGCTTGTTCCACCGGCGCACGAACGACGCAGGGGCCACAGTACAACTGCATGAGAAATGTTTTGGATCTGGCAGGCTGGCATCGCCCAGTGCTTCTGACTGGCCTCCTTAGTTTGCAACCTTTAATGCAGGCTGCTTCTGTTTTCTCTTGTCGCACTTTGGCTCGCATTGCTCGGGAGGCTGCAGCTCGTTCGAACCAAGCCACATGGCAGCCCTTGCCCAAGCAATGGACAAGCCATTAACTTGATTGATTGCTTATATATGTATGCAACTGTTTACCTACTTGCTACCGCCCCAAAATCCGATGTGTTTCGCTTGGTGGCGGCGGAGGTCCAGAGCAGTTACTTCATCATGGTGGCGATTGGCATGTTGGCAGCCTTAACCTCAAGCTGAATGCAATTAATGCGTCTGGACCCAACACATGCGAAATCATGTGAAAGTGAATTCGCAAAAGCAATATTGTGTTTGCCCATTTTTCGACGGCTGCCAAGGCCTTTGCGCTGCTGAAGCGGTAAAACCAAAGTTGGCACGGCGTGGGTCAAAAGCAAACCGCGATTTGCCGCCTGAGCGACCCTGCATTATCGGCACTAACCGCGCAACCACCCATGCATATATTTGACATTATTTGACCTTGCATGGTCCTGTTGCCAAATTGCGTGCGTCGCCGTTCGGCCACATTGACAGCTCAGCATTGCATTGAATCAGAATGCCGGTAAAAAACTTTTCACATTCTTCCAGATGCAATCATTGCTCACAGGTAGCACGATGACAGCGCCAGAAACCGCGGAAACGCAGTTCAATTGCAAAACCACGCATCCTCAGCATCGCCCACAACCATCAACTACCCAGAGCCTTTATAACGCGCCTGCCCTTGCAATGATGGAAAACGCTCGCCTGTGGTTGTGTAATGCCCTGGAGCTTGATGATGCCACCGTGCTAGCTGAAGCCATGCAGCTAAAGCCCACCCAATGGAACATTGTGGGATGTGACACGTCGCTGTTAGACATGAAGCGTTTCATGCTCTTGGAAGACCGGACAGGCAAAAGCAATGTCATAGTCAGACACAGCCTGCTGACTGACCCAAGAAACGGATCTACCTTTGCCATCTACTGGCAGGAAGCTTGGCCCACAGGTCTGATCGTCTTTCGCAACGTCCCAGCAACTCCTTTGATCGTTGGATGGCAGTTCGAAGTTAGCGCCTTCATTTTCGAGGGGGTGGCTCGATCAATGGCGGGGAAAATTGTGGCAGAATACCGGTGCATATTGGAACCCAACCAGGAAACTCTAATCCAAGACTTGAAGGCGAAGGTAAGGCAAGGCGCCATGAAGCTGGGCCTTTTGGCATCCCAGAACCAAGAGATCAAGATGTTCCTAAACGGCAGCGCTTACCAATTGCCAGAAGTTGGCACTATATGGTCTCACAGGGCTTCCTCTTACCACCCGCGTTTTCGGCTGACTTGCAAAACCGATGTAGGAAAGCTTCGCTGGAGCAGATGGGAAAGCGCTTTGCGGGAAGGGTCTGCAACCTTGACTGATGATCCTTCCTGGCTGGCGTAACAAAGGCTGCAAGCAAAAGCCTTGCAAGCTGACCCGGCCAATCTTCGGGATAGAGGGGGCCGAAAAGTGCGCGCCAAAGTTCGAGCCGGGTGCTATGTTTGATACCACATGTTTACATACAGATATGATAATGCTATGTGTATGTATGCATATAGACATACGTGCATACGATTACATCTGAATGTTTCTGTGTCCCCATTGCCAACGCTGCTCAAGTTCCACCGCAGCAGGTAACCCAGACAAATCAATGCCTGAAGAAGCAAGGCGCACAGCTGCCATTGTCCACATAGGGCAGCATTGTACTTATTGCATGTCTGTTTCGCAGTTCTCCCTTTTGATCTCAAAGAATAGCACAATCACCCTAGTGCAGCGCAATTTCAACTTTCAACCATGTTCACAACGCAATGACTGAATGCATTCTTGTCGCGAAAGCGAAACTAACACGCGTGTCCTGACCTTCTTCCGAATGGCAACAACAGGTCTAACCCAGTGTCACTGCGGCAATTGTGATCCGCGCGGCGCTGGTTCTCGGAAGGGTGGATGTGCCCCATTCCACCTTGGATTCCACCTTGGTACCACCCAGCTCAGGGACCAGCGTGGCTTCCCGAGGTGGCTTCAGACAGCGAGTCGGAGCCTATGGACCTGCTGGCCGCCTTAGAAGCAAGCCTGGCTGCTGCCGATCAACAGCACAGAGAGCGGCTGGCTCGCCTTGCCCAACAAGGCATTGATACCAACATTCATGTGTTGCCCCGGGTTCCAAGGCTGTGGTGCATTCCTGATGTCTTTCTTCAAGCAATCGAAGCAGCTGCTGCGATGTGTGACGCCTACGCCAGCTTCATTTGGAGACACAACAACCGTGAACACATGTTGCTGGTCGACTGCGTATCATCCAAGGTCAACTTCTTTTCTACTGGTAATACTTATAACCGGGTGACGGATTCGGGATGGCACGGCCACTGCTCCTTCAGTGGCAACGGCATGACAGTTCATTTGGCTTGGAGAGGAGATGAGAAGCGCACCCTGCCATTTCAATTCATTTGGCATCCAACAAACGAATGCTACTTAGATGAGCAGCGTGTGATTATTCCCATCTTTGGCCCGTTGATGGAGGTGTGATTTCAAAAATGCGAATCTCAGCTTTAATGCATTTCGCGTGTCTTGACACTGGGACCGAAGGTACATGCCTGCAACCCCGGATAAAAAATGCGTCGCGCAGTTCTCGTGCCAAGAATTTAGGGTCGAATTGCGTTCAAAAGTATATGGTCGAATTGCGTTCAAAAGTATATGACGTCATGAAGGTGTGGAACTTACGCCTGGCGCCGGGGTTGCTACTCATGGCTCCAGGATAAATTCCCCTTCAAAAATTCCCTCCTGCAGGCATTAATGTTCTTTTGGCAAAGCGTCCGGACGTACAACTGCCAGCTTCATGACCAGCACGGAACTCTCCGCAGGGTTAGGGCTTTACGTTGCTGCCCGGCAATGGCAAGAGCTCTCTGGCCCCACTGTGCCGAAGCCGAAGTTGCGAAGGCCCAGCTCCACGCCCTACGTGATGACATAGTTCACCAATACCTGGAGGGCGCCAAGTCTGCAGGCTTGCCAGAGCACCGGTATCTTCGCAAAGACCTGTTCCGATGCTGCTTGCGTTTGCACTGCCCGCAGCTGCTCGAAATCGATGAAAGCATGCTCACACAAGCGCTCCAGCGCCTCGTGAAAAGCAAGTATGAGCGCACACTGGCAGACGAAGAGCCCGTCAAAATCACTGTGCGCAATCTGCGCTGGAAGAATTGTCCGACAGTGGCTCCGACATGGAAATTGTGAGCAGCTTTTGAAGACGGATCTGAATCAAGTATCTTCGCCTGGCACACGTGCGGAAAAGATAGCTGCACAGAGACTGCATGCGTCATCTATCAAGCTGTTTCATGTTGTCCTACGCAGCAAAAACGTGGCATCCCAGCGCAGGCATGCGTGCATATCCCCACGAAAACAGAAAGTTTCATACCATTCGCAGCCAAAATATTTTCATCAAGACACCATGAGCATGAAGTGTTGCACCTGTTGTACCTTGACTTGTCGGCAACAGCCGCTTATCCATGTTTTTCCTGGTAGCGGTAGCACCGCCCATCCACAAAACAAACTTGCATGGCACCACATCTGCGAAATTCAGCTCCGGCTTCTCAAGGCTCCTGCTGCTTTAATCTGTTCGCATCTTTTTGCGGTCTGCTGCTCGGTCATGCCCCCTAAGCGCTTCAGCCTCGCAGATGTAGAAGCGAAAGGTGGCTTCACAAAGAAAGCGCGTATGGACCAGGCCAGCGACGGTGGTGCCACATTGATAGCAGTGGCTAGGCCCTGGGGGAGCGCTTTCTGGGCCTTTGAAGGCGCGGCCTGGGCATCCAGCGGATGAAAGCCAGCCATAAATCAATAAAGTCTAAATAAAAGGGCTCACATAGAAAGCTTGGAAGGCATCCTCTTTTGCGATCCGTTTGCACAGGTATTTGTGTCAAGGCATTTGAAAACAGTCAACCAAGCTGCCTCCTGTAGATCCCAGAAACTTACATATATTGATCGTATGCGCATGAAACTAGGAAGCAACCGCTTTGGTCAGCACACCTGGCCAGATGCAGATGCTGCCACGCGTCTTTGGCAAGTTCAACTGACGGGCTCGGCCAGGAACGCCTTCACGTACCAAGCGCTTGTCACCGCAAAAGAAGCGTTGGTCAATCATCCGGACGAAAGGGTGCGGGATTTGCAAGCAGTGGAATCAATCCTGCAGGTCCGCTTGATGACTGGAGGCCCACCCCTGTCGGGACCTGTGGATGCTGATGGGGTGGGAATTCAAAGGTGGCAGACAGTCCTTTATGCGGCAGGGGAAGATCCGAGCAACGCCTTGAATTTCATCCACTTCATCTTGGAGCACAAGTTGCGACGGGGCACAATTGCTGCCATGCCCAAACTTTTACTGCAACTACCAGATGGGGGTTTCCAAGGTCCCGTGCAAGGCCCATGGCAGCTCGCAGCTGTGCCGCAAGACAGCAGCAACCTGCCAAAACCCTTCGCAGCACTGCCTCCCAGAGGCCGACGCCACGTCATAGCACAGCTCGAGAAAAGGGGCGACGAGGAAGAGGTTGAATATTCCTTCTGGCTGCGCGGTGGCCTCTACCCTTTCCGCAACCGGTTCGATGAGATGCAAGTCTCTGCCGCAGAACTGGACATTCAAGACGACAAAGGGAATCCAAAGCAAGAGTACATTCGCCTGGTAAAGTTTGCAGGCTTGGAAGATGGCGAAACCTTACTGACGGCCATCCTTGAAAATTGCCTTCTGCGCCTGCCAATCTATTTCATGAACGAAGCCGGGGACGACGATGAAGTGGCCAATTGGATCCTGGAGCAAGCCAGTGTGGTGCCTGCTGAAAAGAAGCACTGAGGGCAGGGGTTCTGCTAGAGCTCATGATGTCTGAAGCCCACCAACACAGACATTTGCTGAGGTGCTTTCTTCAAATTATCGATAAACAATTAATTTGTGAATTTATGCTTGTTGTATGGATAAATGTAATGCGCAGCTGCTCAACTTCTTGGCCTGGCTGTTGTAAGGTGCATGTTTGTGTCCGGGCGAGGCCGATTCCTGTTTTTCTTTGTGTGTGAGTTGGCTTCTGTCAGGGAGCCTTGATTGAGCAAGGCGACGACACTTTTTGTGACCCCTGGCCAGCCAAAGGGCACAGCAGATCAATTGCCGCGGAAAGGCTGGGTCGCGCGTTGATTTCTTTGCCAAAATTTCATGCGTCGCTGCACGCGCACGCAGACACATGTCATGCTTGTACCAATTGACTTACCTGCTAGTCCTGCCTCAGTTGCAAATTTAAGGAAAGCTTGGGGCGCAAGATCGCATGGCACATGCCCCAACCACCGGCTTCGGCTCTAGCACCCTGCGGCAACTCATCACTTTATCTTCAATCTGTTGGGACCGCTGTTCAACCATGCCCCCCAAGCGCTTCAGCCTCGCAGATGTAGAAGCGAAAGGCGGCTTCACAAAGAAAGCGCGTATGGACCAGGCCAGCGACGGTAGTGCCACATTGATAGCAGTGGCTAGGCCCTGGGGGAGCGCTTTCTGGGCCTTTGAAGGCGCGGCCTGGGCATCCAGCGGATGAAAGCCAGCCATAAATCAATAAAGTCTAAATAAAAGGGCTCACATAGAAAGCTTGGAAGGCATCCTCTTTTGCGATCCGTTTGCACAGGTATTTGTGTCAAGGCATTTGAAAACAGTCAACCAAGCTGCCTCCTGTAGATCCCAGAAACTTACATATATTGATCGTATGCGCATGATACTAGGAAGCAACCGCTTTGGTCAGCACACCTGGCCAGATGCAGATGCTGCCACGCGTCTCTGGCAAGTTCAACTGACGGGCTCGGCCAGGAACGCCTTCACGTACCAAGTGACTGTCATTGCAAAAGAAGCGTTGGTCAATCATCCAGCGGAAGGGAGGCCCACCCCTGTCGGGACCTGTGGATGCTGATGGGGTGGGAATTCAAAGGTGGCAGACAGTCCTTTATGCGGCAGGGGAAGATCCGAGCAACGCCTTGAATTTCATCCACTTCATCTTGGAGCACAAGTTGCGACGGGGCACAATTGCTGCCATGCCCAAACTTTTACTGCAACTACCAGATGGGAGTTTCCAAGGTCCCGTGCAAGGCCCATGGCAGCTCGCAGCTGTGCCGCAAGACAGCAGCAACCTGCCAAAACCCTTCGCAGCACTGCCTCCCAGAGGCCGACGCCACGTCATAGCACAGCTCGAGAAAAGGGGCGACGAGGAAGAGGTTGAATATTCCTTCTGGCTGCGCGGTGGCCTCTACCCTTTCCGCAACCGGTTCGATGAGATGCAAGTCTCTGCCGCAGAACTGGACATTCAAGACGACAAAGGGAATCCAAAGCAAGAGTACATTCGCCTGGTAAAGTTTGCAGGCTTGGAAGATGGCGAAACCTTACTGACGGCCATCCTTGAAAATTGCCTTCTGCGCCTGCCAATCTATTTCATGAACGAAGCCGGGGACGACGATGAAGTGGCCAATTGGATCCTGGAGCAAGCCAGTGTGGTGCCTGCTGAAAAGAAGCACTGAGGGCAGGGGTTCTGCTAGAGCTCATGATGTCTGAAGCCCACCAACACAGACATTTGCTGAGGTGCTTTCTTCAAATTATCGATAAACAATTAATTTGTGAATTTATGCTTGTTGTATGGATAAATGTAATGCGCAGCTGCTCAACTTCTTGGCCTGGCTGTTGTAAGGTGCATGTTTGTGTCCGGGCGAGGCCGATTCCTGTTTTTCTTTGTGTGTGAGTTGGCTTCTGTCAGGGAGCCTTGATTGAGCAAGGCGACGACACTTTTTGTGACCCCTGGCCAGCCAAAGGGCACAGCAGATCAATTGCCGCGGAAAAGCTGGGTCGCGCGTTGATTTCTTTGCCAAAATTTCATGCGTCGCTGCACGCGCACGCAGACACATGTCATGCTTGTACCAATTGACTTACCTGCTAGTCCTGCCTCAGTTGCAAATTTAAGGAAAGCTTGGGGCGCAAGATCGCATGGCACATGCCCCAACCACCGGCTTCGGCTCTAGCACCCTGCGGCAACTCATCACTTTATCTTCAATCTGTTGGGACCGCTGTTCAACCATGCCCCCCAAGCGCTTCAGCCTCGCAGATGTAGAAGCGAAAGGCGGCTTCACAAAGAAAGCGCGTATGGACCAGGCCAGCGACGGTAGTGCCACATTGATAGCAGTGGCTAGGCCCTGGGGGAGCGCTTTCTGGGCCTTTGAAGGCGCGGCCTGGGCATCCAGCGGATGAAAGCCAGCCATAAATCAATAAAGTCTAAATAAAAGGGCTCACATAGAAAGCTTGGAAGGCATCCTCTTTTGCGATCCGTTTGCACAGGTATTTGTGTCAAGGCATTTGAAAACAGTCAACCAAGCTGCCTCCTGTAGATCCCAGAAACTTACATATATTGATCGTATGCGCATGATACTAGGAAGCAACCGCTTTGGTCAGCACACCTGGCCAGATGCAGATGCTGCCACGCGTCTCTGGCAAGTTCAACTGACGGGCTCGGCCAGGAACGCCTTCACGTACCAAGTGACTGTCATTGCAAAAGAAGCGTTGGTCAATCATCCAGACGAAAGGGTGCGGGATTTGCAAGCAGTTGAATCAATCCTGCAGGTCCGCTTGATGACTGGAGGCCCACCCTTGTCGGGACCTGTGGATGCTGATGGGGTGGGAATTCAAAGGTGGCAGCCAGTCCTCTATGCGGCAGGGGAAGATCCAAGCAACGTGATGGATTTCATCTATTTCATCTTGGAGCACAAGTTGCGACGGGGCACAATTGCTGCCATGCCCAAACTTTTACTGCAACTACCAGATGGGGGTTTCCAAGGTCCCGTGCAAGGCCCATGGCAGCTCGCAGCTGTGCCACAAGACAGCAGCAACCTGCCAAAACCCTTCGCAGCATTGCCTCCCAGAGGCCGACGCCACGTCATAGCACAGCTCGAGAAAAGGGGCGACGAGGAAGAGGTTGAATATTCCTTCTGGCTGCGCGGTGGCCTCTACCCTTTCCGCAACCGGTTCGATGAGATGCAAGTCTCTGCCGCAGAACTGGACATTCAAGACGACAAAGGGAATCCAAAGCAAGAGTACATTCGCCTGGTAAAGTTTGCAGGCTTGGAAGATGGCGAAACCTTGCTGACGGCCATCCTTGAAAATTGCCTTCTGCGCCTGCCAATCTATTTCATGAACGAGGCCGGGGACGACGATGAGGTGGCCAATTGGATCCTGGAGCAAGCCAGCGTGGTGTCTGCTGAAAAGAAGCACTGAGAGCGGGGGTTCTGCTAGAGCTTATGATGCCTGAAGCTCACCAACAAAAACATTCATTGGGGTGCGTCCTTCATTTTTTCCCTCATCTAAAAGATGGTGAAATCATTGCGCATGGATAGATGTAAGGCTCAGCTGCTCAACTTCTTGACCTGGCTGGCTGTTGTAATGAGGTGCATGTTTGTGGCCGGGCGAAGCATTCAAGGCCCATTCCTGTTTTACTTACTTGGTGTGCGAGCAGGCTTTTGTCAGGGAGCCTTGACTGAGCAAGGCGGCGACGCTTTTTGTGACCCCTGACCACCCAAAGCGTGGAAAAAATCCGCGGCCGCGCGCAAGAAACTGTTGTGTTTTGTTAGCGTCCATGCAACAATTTGGAAGATTATGTTGCATGGCATTGCTTCTTCAGAATCTATAACCGAATGTGCTCCCAATTTCGCAGCTGTTGTTACTCTTTAATACTTTGCTGCCCGCGCCACATAGCCGATATCCCGAAGATCATGGAAAGCAAAGCTTCACAAGTGCGGAGTGCTGCCCCTCCAACCCCTCGGCTCATGCCGACATTGCCTGCTGCTCGCGAGCGCGGTCCCGAGGAACCAATGTCGCCTTTAGCTTTGCCCCGGGCCGCCACGGAAGAGGACGATGCTGCAGAATGGGTTTCGCCACGAGTCGGTCAACGAGTCATGGTCTTACGGGACCCCTGGCTTCTATGGATTTTGGATGGTAAGAAAACAATGGAAATCCGCAACAAACGGGCACGCCTTGGCCCGGCATGGCTTGGGCAAGGAGGGAAAGTGTATGGGAAGGTGAACATCATTGCTGCAATGCCCATGACAGAAACACAATTTCGCGGCTGCTTTCACGAGCATTTGTGGCCGGAAGATGTGCCCATGACATACAAAACCATCTGCGGCCTCAAATTAGCAGAGCCACGCGCGCTCCCAAAGCCAGTGCACTACTGGCGCCCTACAGGCGCCATTGGTTGGAACACCTTCCGCACCAGTGAAACAGACCAGCCCCCGAAGAAGGAAACGAAGGCGAAGGAAGCATCAAAGTCAAAGCAACGCCGATCCAAGGAAAGCCCTGCCGAGCAGAAGAAGAAGAAGAAAGCCAGGGGCAGTGCTGCAGCTAAGGAGGACGGGCCAGAAGCATGAAGCAACCCTGGTGCAGCAAGACTGAGCTAAGGTCCGCATTAGATTTCTCAGATCTTTTCTGCGTGAACTTGAAGCCCCATCATCAAGCCAGCCGACTGGCTTTGCAGTTTACTTCACGCCGCCTCCCGCCAGCCTGTCAAAAAGAGGCTGCTGAGCAGAAACGTCCAAGTGCCTCTTCATTAAGTTTTTGGCTGCGCGGTGTGTAACGTGAGTGAGCTGTTTGCAATAGCATAGCTCCTGCGCATTTATTTCTAAGAAAATCAAACGCCGGAAAAATATATAGGTAGCCGGATATAAAGAAGGGAACAGATAAAGACGCCCACATCAAAGCATATGAGAATCACACATACACGCGGACGCTGTGTTCCATGGGTGTGTTTGCAGGTCATGTGTGTGCGCATTTCTGCAGTTACATTTTAAGATTCAAGCTTCCCTGGGTGTCAGCCACGCTAGCACCTGCAGTTACATGGCTACAACTACGTCGTGGGCCGATTTGACTGAAGAAGCCATTTCCGACGATGAGCCAGAAGAGATGCTGCGCTGGGCACACATCATGAACCAAGGAACCAGTGAAGAAAGCAAAGCAAGCTGTCAGGTAATGAGGCATGCAGCTACCAAAAGCAAGCCGGACAGGACGAAGAAGCCAAAATGGATCAAGAAAAGGCCGCTGCCAATCCAAGGCGCATCGGCAGGGGCATGGCGAGCCGTTGATGGAAGAGTTGCAGTTGTTGAAGAATCATCACCCCGCCCGACAGCGCCCGCCGCCAGCAGTGACCAAGAACCGATGTGGCAGCCATTGGGCATCGGGTTGCAATCGGACGCGCTGCAAAGCTTAGGAAACGTCACAGGGCCTCTGCAGTTTAGTGGGTGGCTCCTAGATTTGGAAATCCAGAGCTTTGTTTGCGCAGTGATGCAACCTGATTCCTACCTGCGCTGGGGCCGCTTATCAATGTGGCAGCGAGACCTCCAACGGCGCAGTTCTGGCTGGGACCTTCCTTGCCCTTTTTGGCACGCTGTGCTCTATGACTTGGACCTTCAGCTGCATTTAGAGGTGGAGGCCTTCGCACGCGTCCTGTTGACAGGAGAATGGTCCTTGGCTTTCATCACCCCGTGGCAACGACGCCTTCGTTTTCTGACCCGCCGGCTCTGGTTCCCGGAGCGCCTCTGGTATGATCTGATCCACCGCGTAAACCTGCGCGGTGACGAAAAGCGGGCCCGATTGTCCTTGGCTAACCTGATGAGCAAACACGGTCACAAATACGGTCAGGAGTTGCCAATGACCCAGTTTCACCGCCCCAGCCAGGTGCAACAGTGAAAGCTGGCGTCCGAAAATGCTGAGAGAAGAAAACAACGCAGGGAAATTTGCACACAGAGTAAGTGCAGCATGCATAGAAAGAAATGACAATATACCTACGATGCCTTGCATTTCATGTGAAGTGACTGATTATGTGGATGGCAAGGCGGGCGAGATTGTATGTTTGTATAAGGATAGATGCTTCTTCGGTAGCTGCCGGTAACTTCTTAAAATGGCATCAAGTTTCATCAAGCAATAAATTCCCAGTGCGCCGCGTGATGCTTTGCCTTTGTTTTAGCTCTGACTTCTTGGTGTGTGTGTGTGTGTCATCATCGGCTCGAGAAAAACAATCTTCTGCGCTTCTAGCAGTCACTCGCTACTGCATTTTTCTCCCGCGCGTTGTTTTCCAAATGGAATCTGACGCAGAAGGGGCTTACAGTGGAAGCATCGATGTTGCTGAGCTACAAGCTTGGCCTGTAAGGGCAGAGGAGCACACCGCAATCCTGCAAAATATCCGTCCAAACGAATGGCGCACAGTCCCTCGCTCATTCCTGGACTTGGTGACTGAGGCCGGGTACTGGCCAATTGCATTCTACGATTTGAACACGCGCTATGGTGAGCGACAGTTCAATGTCTGGAGGGCTTTTGGTGAACATAGGGTGCTTGTTGTGAAGGAGGTAAAAGCAACTGCCTTGATGGTGACCTGCACTCTTGGCGTGACCGACGGCCAGATTGAAGCCACGTTTGCTTTGCTGAGCGGCTGGGAATTTTACACGAAGCTGTTTGGAGTTGAAGCAACCTCTGTGGAGGCGCCGTTGTACTTTAAAGAATTAGAACATGTAGCTTTTGAAGAAGCTTTGGAGCAGGGCATTGTAGAATCGGCATCCCAACCCGTGCAAGTAGTGTTGGCTGGCTTCGACGCTGCACTGCCGAGCGGTGTCAGATTGTGGAGCGGCGGTGCGCTGACGCCCCGCAGCTTGGAGGCGCGCTTAGAGCGACTCCGGGTATCGACAGCATCAAAGCAAGACGCTTTGCCAAACGAGGTGGAAGAAACAGCATCTTTGGATGAACAAGCCACCTTAGAGCCCGAGGATGAGTGCAGTGATGGTGCTCCTGTCACGGACATGGACCCCGACTACTGTTGAGGATGCAGCTTGAAACTTTTTGATTTGCTTGCAAAGTCAAGCCAAGCAGGAATGAATTTCTATATAGATGCATGTAGCTTCGACGAACAAAGATTTGCCTACACGGGCTCGAATCGAAAAGCGCAACGCTTTCGCAGACGCCTCATTGTTATGTATATATATAGAAATTATATAAATTAATATTGATGCAGCTTCTAAGCATTTTAAATTTCCAATCGCACAAAGCAAAACAGGCACAATGTGTGCTCCATTTACCGCCCTCACTTGCTCAATGACGTAGATCTAACTGCATTGCCTGCCCTAATAAAGGCCGCTGCGTCCATGATCCATAGCGAGAATTCAACCTTTGGCTGCAAATCAACATGATTTGTTTTCTCAGGTTCAAAGCCAAGCAGCAGCGACTACAATATCAAAGCCTATATATATATATATCGATTCTCGCCATGCCGCTGCCGGCGCAAGTGTGGGAGCCAATTTGCACAGGTATCCTGGAATTCCTCAACGGCTGGGTGCTAGTCTCCTTTCTTGCAACTTGCAAAGCAGCCCGGGGATGTCAAGCACAACTGCAGCATGTGCAGAATGTCAGGCTGCAGGTTGAACACTTGAACCGCTTTCTCCGGACAGCTGTGCGGCGGGACTGTCTTTGTTTGCCCGGCTTCGACATCGGAAAGCTTGCAGAGGCTCGGCTCATCCCAATAAACCCTTTGCCTACACTTCCAGGCCGCAACATGATGCTTTTACTAGATGAAACCTACGCGCTGAACCCGTGCCCGGCCACATTCGCAAATTTTCGGGAGTGGCTGGAAGACCACTTTTGGCCAGAAGACATCGGGCAGACCTTGGACGTCGGCGCCCTGGTTCGAGACATGCATGGTGCCGATAGTGCCTTGTTTTGCAACCCTGACCTAGAAGCCTTGACGACCATTCTGTGCCCCCACCTCGAGCCAGCGTATTCACCGAGCTGGGCAACGGCCGGCCGCGGCCCTGTCCGAGTGAAAGGGTTCGAGGCCACCCGCTATCCTGCATTCTTGCTGGCTTGGGCTGAATGCCAAGGCTTCCCCCTGCTCCTCTATGCCCGCGCAAAGATTTCAGCAATACCTTGGACCTGTGTTTTTGGTAGTAGGAATGACCTGATTTCAATGCTTCTGCCTGGTCGCAGATAAAGCAGCCATTCCCAGCGGAGGAAAAGAAGGGCTTGTAACTGCAACACATATCGCACGGATCGATGTATAGCAAGAGGCGGCTAATCACAAATGGCATTGTCGTTTTGCTTTGCCTGTGCATGCCAATGAATTTTGTAACCGCAGCCAGTCATATCAATCACACTCTGCTTGCGCGGCACCTGCAGGCATCTGCCTTGCAGCCTGATGGAAAACTACGGGCGCTGCTGCCATGCTTCAGTTGCAATCAATAGCGCCGTGCCACACTTCTTGCTTTGTGAAGCTTTACAACACTTCGAGGACGGATGGGCTTCGTTTCGAGTGATGGCAACTTGCCGCCAAGCCAGGGATTCGGCAGCGCAGGTAGCAACCAGCCTGCGCACAGCCAGGCAAACCTTGTTGGACATGATGGCGTACCTCCAAGGCCAACGCCCTCGTCTACCAGGATTCCTGGTTGAGGACAAGCTTGACATAGCGATGCTCCGCCTCCTCATCTGGGACCCGCCTGTCCACGCACGAATCTTATTCCGGCCCATCACCTTCATGGAAGACGCTTTCGCGTTTGGGGCCCGAGGAGGCATGCAACGATGGATCGACCATTACCCGCAATACCGCGGCCTCGACCCACTAGGCGTTCTTCGCGTCATGAACCCTTCCCATCAAAGCTGTGAATCCTTTCAAGCCTTCATTGCTGTGCTGCAACAAGCAGATGCTCGCTTCTTCTACTCGCCCGTTGTCTACCGGAACGACGTGCCCATGGAGGAACAATTGCCACCAAGCCCTGGACTTGTCATTGCCATGCGCTACCAGGGCTTCCCCTTGATGATTTGCGCCGGCTTTAGTCATGCGCACTACCTGGAAACGGTCTACGCGCCTTGGTTCTTGCATCAGCTCAACAGATACGACTTGTCCTGAAAAAGCTGCGGCCGCGCAACCGTTTACCCATGTACAGCAATAGAAAGGGTGCCTGTAGTAGAGAGAACACACACACACAAACACACACACACACACGTTGCCGCTGACCTGCGCTGCTGAGGTCAAAACAATGAAATTCAGAGCGGTCTTAATTGCTGCTTCCGTGCTTTTAGCGGCATGCGCAGCTCATAACACCACGAACGGAAACATGCAGCTAATTAAGTTGAAGCAATCTTGGTTTTCTGATGTCCAATGTCATCCGAAGGCATTCAATTTCAAACGCGCTTCAATCCTCATCATAGACATTCTGACAGCTAACAAGCCATGCCAAACCATCTACGCTGCCCATATGCGGCGGTTTTTGGCAGCGGCAGCAGTGGCAAGATTCCATATTTCTTACTTTGCGAAGCCCTCCTTAATTTAGAAGATGGGTGGGCCTCCTTCCGGGTGATGGCAACATGTCGCCTAGCCAGGGATGAAGCAGAACTTGTCGCCAAAAAGCTTCGGGCAGCAAGGCGCGCCTTGCTGGAGATGATCACTTACCTCCAGGCCGAGCACCCGTTCCTCCCAGGCTTCGACCCTGTGGACTGCCTAGACATGGGGATGCAGCGCCTTACGATCTGGGACCCGCCCAGACATGTTACTATTTGCATGCGCCCACCAGCCTTCATGGAGGATGCCTTCGCCCACGGGTCCGAGGAGAACATGCGCGCTTGGATCCAAGAGCACGGGGTGCACGGTACCCCGCTTATGGTTCTACGGGCCATGAACTTCACCCAGCTGCAATGTACTCGGTTCCAAGCTTTCTTAGACATCTTGGAAGAAGGCAACGCTCGCTTCCTGTATTCACCCTTCGGCTTTGGAAATGAGGCTAGCCATGGCACAGATCACGAAGCGAATCCAGCACCAGGGCCTGGGCTTGTCATCATCGTCCGCTACCATGGCTTCCCAATCGCCATCTGTGCCCGCTACACTACCATGAACTACATCAACCGAGTGTTTGCGCCGTGGTTTCATGTCGTTGCCGCTGTTAGCAATGTTATGCCCTAGCCATCACAGAATAAGATGCTTCGAGGCCAATGCAGCAGTTGTCCCTAGGCCGACCCGGGGAACTTGCGCAACATAGAAACAAAGCTGCTGCTGCACAGAGACTGGGAAACTTGCAGGACAAAAAAACTATATATATATATTGAACGATGTTGAAGCAACCGTCAGGGCGCACATTGATTGAGCTGACGCATTTTGAGCACACATGATGTTTGACGCGCAGTGCTTACTATCAACTTTTCTTGCCCTCTGACCGGAGCCCCCCTTTCAAACTCAAGCGCTTCGTGTCACTCAAAAGAAAAGAGCTACCCTTGCTTCGCCTTCCGCCAGGACTGATGCAAGTGTTGGTGCGGGTGCAATATGATATTTTGACTTGTCTGTCAATTCCCGCCTTGCCCCCCAACCACAAGGACAATCAAACAATTCTATCAGCGCGGCTCCCCAGAATGCAGAGGAACATCAAGGGTCGGCGAGAATGTTTTGGAACGTTCGCGGAAAAGCTTACCTTCCTCTTTCATTGTTTCAGCTAGCCATTGTAACAGGCTCAAGTCATTTCGAACAGCACCTACGGCCACCTACGTGACGCCCGACCTGGCAGCCATGTCGGGCAAGCATCTTGAATGGGCATTTTTTAGCTCAACCGATGATTTTCCTTGCCCCTACATTTGGCACATGCTTGACAGGGACGTTGAAGATGTGCATGTGGTGGACGAGACGCCATGTTGGGGCATCATTGCCTTCTCCTTGCTGCTCCCCGGCGGTTTGGGCGAAGAAAGGATCCGGTGTCGTATAGAAAGGCCATTGCTGGAAGATGTCTGGCTGTTCAAGATCTGGTGGTACGAGGTGCTTGACGAAAATGGCAACTTTGTGGCGGCTGACATTGCAGGCATCGTCTACGATGCCGTGGTGCTGAGGCAAATTCCTTGCCACGTGATCTTCAACTGTTGCCTTTCCGTGGTCGACGACGGCCACTTTCTTGCTATATTCTCGACCCTGGCAGGTAACGAACTACAGCGCGCCAAGCAACCCGTACCACGCGTGCTGACGGCGCGCTTTCTGCGGAATTTGATTTCGCGAACTGCCTTAGCCAACGGCTTCTTGCAAAGCCAGAATCAAAAAGTGCACATCCTTCTGAACGGCTTCGCCGAGCAGATTAGCGAACATGCAATTCTTTGGGATAAGGAGCGCCAAAATGGCTGGCTTCAAAACCGCGGATGCCATGGATAAAGCTCACGGACGAAGCTGTCGCTTGACCCTGATCAGAAAAGAGCCTCGAAAACAAGCGCTTGTGCGGCGCTTGCTTGCATGCATGAAGCGGTATCCATTGCTTGCCCCTTGTGCATGCCAGCAGCATGCATGCGTATGCAACTCTCTGTTTGATAAATTTTGATAATATACTTTACTCAACTTTTGGTTTTCGATCGTTTTTATATGCCGCCATGTACACGCGCATGTGCCAAAGAGGCTGCAATGATTTCTGCCGCAATCACATCCGCCCAGGCTATCATGGCCTTCAGCGCGGTGGCCAACGCCTCCCTTCAGGCACGCGGTGATCACCGCATGCACCTGTGCAAAGAAGCAGCACTCTTGGAACTCATGTGATGAGACAGCGTCAGCACAACCTGTTGCAGGCACCGGCATTCTTGCTGGGCAAAATCGAGGTTCTGAAGGATGTGGATTGCCTTTTCCACGCGCTGGCTTATCCGGATGGTCTTCTTGGCAGAGATTTACGCTACCAAGTCGCTGCCTTTATGCGGCAGCAAGCGTCCACCCAGGGCGCCTTCCAAGCTACATGGCTCCATGACGCCGACGAACTTCTGAGCGGCCAACAGGGCGGCTACACCGCAATCATTGCCTTTTCGTTGATGAAACGCTTAAAGATTGAGGTACATGCCGATGGGCCGTCCGGTGCCATCACCATCATTGACGCCACCCACCCGGATTTGAAAGTTGACCCAAATCTGCCTGTGCGGCGCGTGTTCTACAACGGCAAGAACCGTCACTACGAAGCCTTCGTGGAGCTGGGCCGCGGCGTGGTGTTTCCAACGAGCGAACCGATGCCTTGCACAAGGTGCTCCTGCGCGTGCCATGCACCACCGGGCTTTTATGGTGACAAAGGTGCAGAACCATAGTGCTTCGTGTTGTATCTCTTGCCACTCGACGTTCCCCTGCGCGCCTTATCTCTAAGTGAAATATGCTGACCCTGACGGCTGGCGCTGTTCGCAGGTGAAAAAAAGATTGCTACTGTCAAGAGCGTTTTCTTCATCAGCATGAGCAATGCCATTGTTTTTCTGACTCTTCCAGGACACCCGATGTCCAGCCACATGAAACTGGAAGCGTTCCAGTTTTGGAATGTCCAAAACATTAACTTGGGTGAGATACAGCTCCACGACCGCAGCTTCATCTGAAACTCAAGCCTTTACAGCCGTGTCTTCTCCTTTGACTTCTCCGCACACCGGGCTTTGAAGGAGAAATGGCACAAACCGAGTAATTTAATGCGAGATTTTTGGCTGCCGCGCAAGCACATTCTATAATTTGTTGACAGCCTCGTCTCAGGACACCCGTGATCCAAAGAGGCGGCGCAGCAACAAGTGCTGCGAGCCTTGAGGCCGGGGTCCCAAGGATCTGCACTGCCGCATTGTATGTACGCTTTGCGGTCTCTTGGCAAACACCTGCTGAGGTGGTTGGCCTCCCCGGCCCCCTTTCAGGCTAAGGCTTGACGGATGGATTTTCGAGAAACATTTTACGCATTTGATGGCATGGTCAACTTTGCCTCTCTGAGTTGCCCTTGGCCCCGAAGCAAGCCCGAACAGAATGCATTGCTGGAGGGTCTTCATGCCTATGACTGGCACCGCAGCTCTGGCTTTGGCATAGACAACTATTTGTTTGAAGCGCACGACCATGTACTTATTGCGCGAATCACTCTGGAAACCCGCTTTGGGCGCAGGTGGTTTCACGTATGGCAAAACCCCATGGCCAATCAACTTGTTGTGGTAAAGGAGGCTGCGCCTGATACACCGGTTGTGCTTTGCTGCGAATTGACGGCAGGCACGCTCGGCATTTGCGCTGCCTTCAGTCTCTTGAGCGGACGCAGCCTGGGAACTGTGGCCTTCAACGACATATCAATCGAAGAACCGCTGCTGGTCAAAGACCTCAGAGCGGCAGCTTGCGACCAAGCTTTAGGCCATGGGCTCTTGGAAACCCACCGGCAAGTTGTAGGCTTGGCACTGCAAGGCTTCAAGCAGGACCTCCCTGATGGCGTGCTGCTGTGGTCGAGCGATGGAGCCACAGAAGTGGAATTACAAACTTGGCTCACATATCTGCAGTCCCTTTCGCCCGCTGACCTCGAAAGCTGGGATTGCGTTGGCAGCCTTTCTTCCGTGTCTTCGGACTCCACGTCAGGTCTAGATGAATTGCTTGACGGCACCTGCTCGGAAGGGCCGGTCAGCGACCACCCAGAAGAACTGTGAGCAGATTGAGGGCTTGCCCCTCTACACCCCCCGCCAAAAAGGTATGCGTGCACTCTGCAGGCCGCTCACCCTGGCGCGCTGAATCAGAACCGGCGCTTCTACTAGGAACGGGGAAAAGGAGCGAAGCGGCTGGAAAAACGCATGATAACGTAATGTGACCGGATGACAGGTGCCTGCATGCAAACCAGAGCGTGATGAAGCTACCATACCCATGCGCCCACTAGTTATATTCTTGCTTCCGAAGCTTTCAAGCTCAAGCCTTCCAGTACTGCTTCACGCTTTCTTGCTATACTTTAGCGAGGCCTGCGGCCTGCGCGTTAAAATCATTTCCCCATGCTGTGAACATTATGCACTTACCTGCCCATATCCGCAACTCTTCCGCGCCAAGCCGCCAGGAGAGTCATGGCTTCCGATGCAGCGGCAAATGCCGTAAACCACGAGGCGGGGCAAGTGATCTGGCAGGATTCATGCTGCCAGAGTTGCACGCGGCCTGGAGCCCCTTGTCAGGTACCTATAGTACCTGCGGTGGCGCTCGGCCACGTGCCCGTAGCTGGGGACGGCAATTGTTTATTCCATGCCTTGGGCTATTTGGATGCGCGGAGTGGGGCAGCACTCCGCAATGAGGTGGCGGCCTTCATGGTGGAGCAAGCATGCACGCAGGCAGGTTTCGAAGAGGCTTGGCTTGAAGAAGCCGATGAACTTCTACAAGGCACGTGGGGAGGGCACACCGCAATCACGGCTTACTCCCTCATGAAGCACGTTCGCGTGGAGATTCACACAATCCAGCCCAATGGAGCAGCCTTGGTAACGGATGCCAGCCATGCCAACGTGATCAACGATACAGAGGCGCCGCTACGCCGCATCCTTTACAGCAATGAAAACCACTACGATGCTGTCATGGAGCTGCTCCCCAACCCGCAAGGCTGGATTCCGGCATGGGAACAACCGCTGCCAGTTATCTATTACAAAGAAGGCAAAGCACAGGAAGCCCCAAAGCCTCAAGAATTTCCACCGTTGAGGGAGGCTGCTCACAGCAGCAACCGCAAGCAGCCCAGGCTCACTAGGCCCAGAACAATTGGAAAGCAAGCCAGAAAGCGCAGGGGAAAACAACTTCCCACCCAACCAGCGCAGGAGGATTCAGAAGGCAAGCCTAAAAACCAACCTGTCGATATAGCGCAACCCCCCGTTCTGAGACGATGCACTACCAAGACAACTCCTCCGCCAGAGCTGCGCGAAGACATCCTCACCGAGCTTTGCAAAATTCCTGTGAAACCGCGGATGGCCCACCCGCATCGGAAGCAAGAGGACCTCATCAAGGACGCGTTTTCACACATGTGTTTTATCTTGCTGCATGTTCCGCTTCAATTCTTAATAAGCCATTACCATGAAATACTGCATCCCGCGGCGCGCGCGTTTCTACAGCTTGCGCGCCCTTGACGTCCAGGAACTGGCCCTGAACAAGTTGCGCGAGCACCCGACCTTACCCACGGACGAAAAGCTGGGGGTAGTGGACCACGGCGAACTGTGGCCACGTGCCTTTTGTGCTTTTGTTGGATGCTGCTGGATGGAGATGGATGGTAATGAAAGCCAGCTACATGCACACCTCCAAGCTGAGCACGCGGACGAGCTTGCTCCAATTGCTGCATGCATGATGCGAGGCAACGCCGAAGATGCTTTCCTCAGCATTTACAACGAGGCTGTTGCCACGAAATGCCGTAGCCAAGCTCCCCTTGCAGGATCCTCCCTTGACCGCAGGGCGCTGAACTCATTCAACAATGCGTGTGCCGGCAACAAGGTGGAAGCCCTAGTGTGCTTCGTTTGTGCTTGCACTTACACATATGTGGAAGAGGTTGCGCAGGAAGGGAAAAGCGACATCGATTGGGTACAACCCTTCAAGCCCGACATCGATGCAGAGGAGCTTCTCTTCTTGGGCCGGCCCGTCGACGAAACAGGAAACCTCTTGAGCTTGCAAACCTTCTTGGAACGCTACGGCAAAGTCTCGGGCACGACCACCCTTCAGGAGCACGAGAGCTTTGATGATTGGTGTTTGACCTGGCCCAGCAACGCCACTGCAGGCAAGAAGATCCTCTGTTGCCCCGAGGACCCCTGCATGTTCAGGCATGCGGACTATGATGATTATAATAAGATGAAGGTTTCTTTCAGCATATATGCTTCACGCATCATTTTTTCATTGTGTGCTGCTCAATACTCACGTGTAGCATTTTCAAAACCGCTTGCCATATATAACACACACTGATTCTTAACGTTCCTTGCCGATCGCCCGGACACAGGACCGCCGCTGCCCCAGCGGACACGATGCCTATGACTTTGACCTCTGCGGCGACTGTCAGCTTCCCATGTGCAGCAAATGCAAGGAGTCACTGTCCAAGGGCGAACTCCCTGCGTTGGCCCTGGCAAATGACATGTGGACAGGCTATGCGCCACAGCGTCTCATCGAGCAAAAGGTCACAGTTATGGAGGCAATTTGCGCCAGCCCCTGCGTGACCACCCTGATTTGCATGACCATGGAAGCCAGGTATGAGGACAATGTCCGGCAAGAGGCTCAGGAAGCTGAGCCGCTGAATTCCAACGCGCAAATGGCAAGGCATCGCTTCGGCGCGCGGGGCAATGCCCTCACATTTCCACTTCCGCTGGAAGACTTGTTCCTCGCTTTGCAAGGGCACGAGCAAGACCGTCAGGAAGGAAAGCCGCTGCAGCTGCCACGGGTCGGCGCAGAGCTAGCCCACGTAGCAAGGGTGCTGCTCAAGACTAACAAGGAAGGGGCCACAAGCGAGAAAGACATCAAAACCTTGATCCATCAGGCCGTTGTGCGAAGAGAGGCCGGCCTGATACAGCACCTGCTTCACACATCAAGTGTCCAGGCGTCCTAAATATACCAGAACGACTCCGATGATGATGATGATGGTGGTGGTGGTGGTGATGATGATGATGAGTGAATGTTTTACGGACGTACCCTAGCTCATCCCCTCAACTGCAAGGATGGAGAAGTGGCCTGCCTGTCGACCTAGTGTTCCACACGGGTATTGAACCCGGGCCAATTGCATGAGGGATGATGATGATGATGGTGGTGGTGATGATGGTGAAGAAGAAGAAGATGATGATGATGATGGTGATGATGATGATGATGGTGATGATGATCATTTTGATGATGATAGTAATCATGATGACCATGGTGCTCATGATGATTATGATGATCATAATTATCATGATCAATAACGGATGATGGATGATGGTGATGCGCTGGAAACATTGGGTGAAACGTTGTTGTACAATAGATGTTGCGCTTGCAAAATCACTTGGTAACCGGATATACCTCCTTCCGAACCCACCTTGCAGCAGGTAGTGGTGGACCTCATCCTGGACATGCGCGCGCTAGGTCACCCCGCCTATGCATGCGTGGATGAAGCCACGGTGCTACGCAGGGCAGCCGACCTACCTGAGAAGGGCGTCCCTCCTGAGGTTTGGAAGATCTTGCATGAAACCGTCAGCACCCACGACAATTTGCAGCCGCAGAAAGCCGCCACCCCGTGCGACGCGATGGTACAGTTGGATGGAGCCGGAAAGACATTTGCAGCGCAAAGGGCGCGTGCAATTGTGGCGGAAGGGGAGAGCCGCAAGGAAGCCAATGCAAGAGAAGTTGCTGCTTTAAAGGAGCTACAGGAAAATTTGCTGACAGAGACGCAGAAGCAAGTCAACGCAGCACTCCTGTCACTGGAAGTGCGCACGGGCAACAAATTTCTGGACCAGTTTCGACCAGATTACTTTGCCACGGCCTTTCCTTTCTGCTTCAAATACGCAACTGCTTGCCCTGATGTCGTGAACACAACAAAGGCGCAGGGAGGAGAGGGCGAACTAGCGGCAGCACCAGAGGAGCAACTACCACGTCGTCAAGCTGGCAACCCCAAGGCGCCACCGGTTGGTATCAAAGAATGGGCTGTTGCTATGGCGCGGAGGGTGGAAACCCAATTCAAGAGAGACTGGACCTTTGGCTTCACTCTTTGGAACTACTTGTTTCGCACCCTTGTGAATCTCCAGCAGAATGCATTCATGTACGCCATTCCGGACCCCCTGGGGCACGGCCACAAGCGCATGCTCACCAATGAGGAGATTGCCGACGGCAGCCTCGAAGTTATGGGCCGGCTGCACAACGGCCTGTATACGGACATCACTGGCGCACTGAAGCCCGTGAACGGTGACTTCACCAAACTTCGGCACGTGCCCGGTCTCAGCCTGGCTGCGCAGAAGGTTTTGAGCAACACCGAAGCCCGGACGCGCCACATTCCAGGCACCCATGAGATTCGCAAAACGATGCGGCATCAAACCAACGGCAACCGCGTTTGCTATGGAACTGCTGTTTTTATCACCTTTTCGCCAAGCGATCGCCATGACAGACTCAGGGTCCGGCTAACCCGGGCTCGGCAATCCGATCCGGCCGTTGTTGCGGATGGCAGCGCTAAGTTTCAGCAAAGGCAAAACCCCGCCCTGGACATCGACTACATTACTTTGTCGCCGGAAGCTTTGGCCGAGGAGCACGCATACATGCATCATGCATAGTGTATACCTTAAGAGATTCTAATGTATAGTAATTATCTGATTATCTGCATGCATGTGCGCTTGCATAATATGCTTGTCCGTCTTAAGATTCACTGCGCAGCGCATTCTTCTGGCGCTGTCTTGCCAGGAGTTTTTGCCCTATGAGGAAAGGAAACAATTGCTGGCGAGAGATCCCTTGGCATGCACGGAAGGGTTCCAGACATTGGTGCTGCTCACGCTACGCCACCTCTTCGGAATACGATATTGCCGCAATTGTCCGGATTGCGCGCAGTCAAAGAATCCGTGCATGGATGCGTTTGGCAGCAACGCAACAGCCATGGGTGGGATCTTTGGCCGCATGGATGCCATATACGGTTCCCTCGAATGCCAGAAGAGCGGAAATCTTCATATCCACCTGCAAGCTTTCCTGCAATGTTGCCACCAATTCACTTCCTTGTCGGACTTGCAAAAGTTGGCCGAGAAGCCCCTCCTGGAGATGCTCCGCGGCTGCACTAGCTACACCAGCCACGTTCAGCGAAAGGTCTACAGCAACCAAGAGGCATGGGAAAAAGAACGGGCTGAAGTAGAAGCCGCCTGGCCAGAATTCAAAACTAGCACTCTCATGAGCAGCTGCCCCGCTTACCAAGTAGACGATGCCATGGAGCCGAAGGCGTGGAGAGCAGCGTATCTAGACCAAGATGTGGAGGCATTGCAAAAAAGGTTGCAGCACCATGTCCACTTGCCAGGACCTGACGGCAAGCGACTACCTTTGAAACATTGCCAAGATTCCAAAGACCCGACGAAATGCAAGAGTGGCTTTCCACGCACAGCTTGGTTGACTGATCAGCCCTTCGTCATTTGCCCCGCCTTGGCAGAACAGAAGGGCATGCCGCACAAAGGGAAGCGAAGCATGGTCGGGTTGTCCTGGGGCCCTTGCAACGAACCGAACCTCAATGGCACCCATCCCGCCTTGCTGGCAGCCCTTCGTTGCAACAGCGATGTGCAGCCGCCCTACAGGTTCCCGATCACGAACATGACGCACAGCAGTGATCTTTGCGTAGGCACGTGCCACAGATTGCCAATCCAGACTTTGGTCCACGAGGCCCAAATCAATCAAGCGGCGCAGGCAGGCTACGCGGCGGACTACCAAAACAAGCGGCTACCAGTTGCGGTCCACGAATGCAAGGAATGGATGAAGGCTCAGAGAAATTTGGCGGAAGAGCTCCAGGATAAGAAGCAAGGCTATGTAGGTGCCAGGCTGAGCAAGCGCCTCATTACAGATTGTTACGCCCGCGGTGTTTGCCGCGGCGCCGTGGAATGCACAAACCTCACCCTGCATGCAGAGCTCACCCAAAAGGACCCCACCAAAGCAGAAAGCGTCAAAACGGCTCCTACCACTGAGATGGCCTTGGGATATGCCTTGCGGCTATTGGAGAAGACAACTGCGCGTGAGCCCTGGCCAACAGAACCCAAACGCATGCAGGTGGATGCCCGCAACTACAACCGGAAGAAGCTGATAGATTGCCCTTTCTGGACTGCATATGGCGGCCGGGGCCGCGCTGCTGAGGCGGTAAAGTGCTTAAAAATGTGGTTTTTGGGTGCGCAATCAACGTATGTGAAATCTACGTTTGGTTCCCGCCATGTCACGTCCATGTGCATTATATATAATATATACACATTGTTTTGGTTTCCCTTTTATAAATGCGCGTGTGGTTTTTACTTTCTTAACTTCCTTTACTTGGTTTGGTCTGATGCCTGTCTCGCAAAGGTGCACGCCCTGTCAGCATACGAGTTTGCTCGGCACTACCGCTTCAAGATGGCCAAGCATCCGCAGAGTGAGGAAGCGCACCAGAAGCACCTCAATGAACCGGAACTTTACACGCCATTCTCACAGAGCGCGGAATCAATAAGGTGATCGAAGCCAAGCATCCAACCCTCCGTCCCGGTGCAGACTACCAGATCAGAGAAGGTGGGGGCGCAGGGTGGCTGTGCTTGGGACGTGGGGAACGCGTCGACCCTGCCTACCGCCACGACTGGGTCGTAGTGCCTAGACAGCGGCCGTACGTACCGGTACTATATGGGGCTCAAGGCAGCAAGTCCGAAGAGGAGCAGGCCATGAAATTGCTGCTTCTGTTCTTCCCTTGGGTCGACGACATCAAGGATGCAAGTGCCGCCGTCCCCTATATCGGCAACTTCTGGTCACAACACACAACCACGTGGCGGCAAGCCTTGCGAGCCAGAACTTTTCGGAACGGCTTTCCAACCGATGAAGTCAAACGCTTTGTGCTGAACTTTTGCATTGTCTACTTCTTGCCCCGTGAGTTGCAGCTTCAAGATGAATTACATCCAAACAGTGACAACGAGGACATAGTCGACGACCTCGACCTTGCCCTGGATGATGAAGACCTGAACCTTGCCACCTTGACCCATGTGCGAGGGGCTGGAAAAGCGCAGGCCACATGGGTGTTTTCGACCATCTTTGATCACACAGCGTGCTGCACCTTAGCCTTAGTTGTTAATGAACCATAAACTGCCATAAATGTTGCTGCCGCTGGCTTTCCATTTGTGAATCCTTGCGGTGATATAATGGATTTGCCCAACGAGCTGCCAGGACAGAGAGCAAATCGAAGAGGAGGACGAAGAGAACGCAGAAGCAGAAGTGCAGGAAAGACGCTCCACCTTGTTCGATCTCACCATGGAAATTTTCCGCATCTCAAGTTCTATTTGGCTACCGCCAGAGCGCTGGCAGCAACCGGACCCAGAAGCACAAGCCCAGCACCAACGAATGTTGGAAGCAGGCCAAGTGCGGGACCATGTTGTTGCCAGGAGAGCAGCTGCTGCATCAAAGAAGCAAGAGGACGCCCAGGAAGACAAGGTAGTCAACCTCTTGGCGACGGCTGAAAAAGGCGACGCGCCGTGGATCAAGGTGCGCCCGCCCTTAACACGAGAAGCTATCGAAGCTTGGCTGGCAAGTGACAAGGTCCGCAAAGGAACGAACCCGAAGCAAATGGAAATGCTGAAGCTCGTAGCGAACCGGGTCATGGTGGAGACAGGTTTGATCAGCGTAGAGCAGTCCCTGCAGAAATCGTTGGACCCATTGATCTGGCTGCTGCATGGGCCGCCAGGAACCGGAAAATCCCATGTGCTGACTTTCATCCGAGAACTCTTCGATATGATGGGCTACACCTACGGACTTGACTACGAGGTGGTCGCCTTTCAGGCTGTAAATGCTGCTGACCTGGGCGGCAAAACCATGCACAAAGCCTTTGGCTGGAAGCGGTCAGGGGACCGACCACAAGAAAGTGCAAGGCGCGAAGCACACAAGCGCATGGGCCATTGGCGCTGGCTCATCCTGGACGAGATCAGCCTTGTGGATGCCAAACTAGTGGGGCAAGCGGAACGGGACCTCCGAGAAGTCGTGCCTGCGAACAACCCTTGGAAATGCAAGGAAAACCAAGCGCGCCCTTTTGCGGGCATCAATGTGATTTTCACAGGCGATTTCCACCAGCTACCACCCCCAGCCGGAATCTATTTGGCGGATGTACCCCGCTCTTTCCGGGACCCGCGTGGCGACAAGGCGCCAGAGAACGTGTTGGCAGACTCTGGCAAGCAGCTCTTTTGGGATGGCGCGGTGCAAGGGGTTACGGAGCTAGTGGACCGAGAGCGTTGCAAAGATGAATGGTGGAATGAAGTCGTGGACGAGTTGCGCGCTGGGCAGCTCTCAGAGAAGAATTGGCGATACCTGCACGGCTACCCGGTGGAAGGCTGCACCCTCAGCGAAGAAGAAAAGGCATCGAGGCGACGGGTCATCACATGCTTGGACGATCCGCGGCTACAAGAACCGAAGTTCAAAGAAGCCATGGTGGTGGTGGCCAACAATGATGCTCGTTACCAGATCAACAAGGACAGAGCCAAGCGCTACAGCCAAGCAGCGAACGCACCCCTCTCGTGGTCGGTTGCCAAGGATCAAGCCTCCTCAGCAGCTTTGCAAGCGGAAGCCTGTGATCAGGATGCAAAGATCAGGCACTGCATTCTTCACTTCCAGATAGTTGTTTGTACATCCGGGTTGCTGCATCAAATAGCATATTTATATAACAAGGATCCATGTCATGAGTGTGTTCAACGCCTCAAAAAGGCAACAAAATTATAGCCGTATATAGACTATAATTATATAATAAAATATTTCCTATTCCTTTGTTTCCCGGGCTGCAATAAAACGACTTGCAGGTGGCTACAATACCACGATCGCGACACGGGCGATCTTTGCGGGACACTTCCCCTGGCCCCTGGTATGCCCGTTGCATTGACGCATCACCTGGACAGGTCTCCTGACAAGATGCTCCTCAAGGGCTCAGTGGGCCGGGTGCATTCTTGGGTGTGGCCGGAAAATGACCGCCGTGCCCACCGCCTACCAACTTGCGTCTATGTCAAGTTTGAAGGCGCAACCTGGCAATTGGATGGCATCGATGAGCCGGGCGTGTATCCCATCCGCCCAAGGACGGAAGATTGGTATTTGGACAGCAGGAGGAAGAGCGCCCTGCTCAAAGTCAAACGGCGGCAAGTTCCCCTCACCCCTGCCTTTGCCATCACAGCACATGCAAGCCAAGGAAAGACCTTACGTGCCGTATTGCTGGACCTTTGCGTCGACAAGCGGGTGGATACAACGATCGGTGCGGTGGGGGCCAGCCGGGTCCGCAACCGCCATGACTGTCTTATCCTCCGGCCGTTTCCGCTTTGGCTCTTCCGCCGAGGCGTCTCCGAAGGTCCGCAACTCCTCCTCCAGCTTCTGAGGGGCGAGCCGATTGATTGGGCCGCATACGCTGAAGGCTTTGCCCCCTACGCGACCTGCTCCGGCTGCGAGCAAGTCCGCACCTTGGACCGCTTCGAACATGAACAATGGGACAAAGTGCGCGCCAATTTGCCGGCCCGCTGCATGCGCTGCAAGCACGGGGAGCACGGGCCCCGACAACGCAAGCTTGATACTGCTGTCAGGTACGCCTGCAGCGCTTGCAGGGTGATGAAAATTGAAGACGCCTTTCCAAGACCCCAATTAAAACAAGTGGAAGCCAAGAAATGCTTGACTTGCTGCAAGGCCATCAGTGAACTCACATGCACTTCGTGCCGCACCAGCAAGCCTGCGAGCGAGTTCAATTCGAGCATGGTCACCCTCCCTTCGGAAGGCGTGGCATGCAAAGCATGCCAAGAAGAAGCTAAGCACCAAACTACTAACAAGGCACGGTGCAGGGCGCAGAAGAATTGGTTCACCTGTCGTGCTTGTGGTCAAACCTTTCCAGTGCCAGCGGCGGGGAGCAGCCAATCCAACCCTAAGCATTGCTTGAACTGCGCTTCGCGCGGCACTCGCCAAAAGGACGAGCACACTTGCCGCAATAAAGATTGCAAGCGCAAATGGCACGAGAAGCAGCCTGGGAAGAGCCAAGCGCGCAAGCGCTACTGCCCAGCATGCCGCAAATAGCGCCATACCTGGTAGGGCACAGCTGAAGCCTGCTGCCAAATTCGCAACTGTCATAATTATTAATTATATATACGGTACAGTCGCAGCAAACAAGTACAGATCAGCTGCATGCATCAAGACCGCTCTGATATCGTACATGCATGTTGTATTCACTGGATAGTTGGAGCGGCCCGAAATCGTGGACAGGGCGCGGCTGCCTCCGTCGTTCCCGCCGTAGCATGTGCTTCGGCGTCCTGGGGCTACAAAAGCCTCAGCGCGCACAAGTCGTTGCCGCTGCCGCCCAAACACCGCAAGTCTCCGGTCCATGCAATCTGCCAAAATGATGCTGTTGCCCAATTGCTGGCATGACGTAACACAAGCTCAGGCTAGGAAATGCATACGCAGTCAACAAATCAGTAGTAGCAGGGCCCGAAAACATATCATATGAGAGAAAAATTCAAACAGCGTGCTTGAAACACGCGGTTGCTCCAAAATGCAAAGCTCTTGCCAAGGAATGCTGTTCGCAGCTTTTTGTCCATGCTCAATCTGTCTTAAGCTCGGAACATGCCGCATCGCTGCCATGGGCTGGAGGACCCTGCAGGCGGGACGCCGCGACCCTGCATCTTTGCAGCTGACGGTAAAGGAGGGCCTGCTGAGGTTAAGCGTACGCGTGATGGCAAATCATGCGCCTTTTGCTGTCCCGATGCATTTGCGCGTGCTTGCGGCTCCCCGGCTGGCAAAGGCAACATCACCAAACATTTGAAGCAATGGCGGGAAAGCGGCAGCCCATGCTATGAAGCTGTCTTCGCCTTTGGTATTCCGGGCTTAGTCTTGCCAGACGCCAAGCAGCACGACCTCCGACGGCGTGCAGGAGAGGTGCCGACTTTCAACGCAAGCACAAGCTGGTTGCACAAGAAGAAAGCGCGGCTGAAAGCTTTTCTCCATGGAAAACCGATACCAGATGCCCCGGAACTCAGTCAAAATGGCCTCCACTTCGCGTGGCAATGCAGGTCAGGACAGGGCGCGCGCAAAGTGAAGGGTAGTTATTGGGCTAAGATGCTGCAAGGCCAAGTCCAAAAGCATGGACAGCTTCGAGCCAGAGAGCCCAAAGCAACTAGACGTGTAAGGCAGCAATGGTGGTCCTTGCGGCGTCAATTGAAGAAGCTCGTGCTTCCCATTGCAGCCCTCGGCCGCCCTTTTCCTCCGGTGGTTGCCTGGGCAATAGACGAGAAGATCATTCCTGATCAAGAGAATTATGTTGAACCCTGAAACAACAATGTGGCCCCAGGCATTTTAGCAGAACATACTTGCTATTGGCCCATGAGACCGGACAGCGGAAGGCCATAGCTTTAATTCGATCGGCCATGAAGCTACCCTGCTGGCAAAGTGACAAAAAGAAGCGTCTCTTGCAACCACACGTATCTTGTGATTTCCAGATACAAATACCAGTGTGAGCGATTGCTGCTATGGTGCAGCATTCAGCACTGCCTGAAATGACGCTTTTCTATCACCGACGTGTGGATTAATCAGGCTGGCATTCAAGCTTGCAGTAATGTGGTTGTTTTATGTTGTTTTGGTCAAAATTTTCCGGCTTGTCCCTTTTCGTTTCGGCCCATATAGCAATTCGCTGAACTCCCCGTATCTCGAAAACCGCGCGCCGTGTCGCACAAAAGCCTCAGCGCGCACAAGTCGTTGCCGCTGCCGCCCAAACACCGCAAGTCTCCGGTCCATGCAATCTGCCAAAATGATGCTGTTGCCCAATTGCTGGCATGACGTAACACAAGCTCAGGCTAGGAAATGCATACGCAGTCAACAAATCAGTTAGTAGCAGGGCCCGAAAACATATCATATGAGAGAAAAATTCAAACAGCGTGCTTGAAACACGCGGTTGCTCCAAAATGCAAAGCTCTTGCCAAGGAATGCTGTTCGCAGCTTTTTGTCCATGCTCAATCTGTCTTAAGCTCGGAACATGCCGCATCGCTGCCATGGGCTGGAGGACCCTGCAGGCGGGACGCCGCGACCCTGCATCTTTGCAGCTGACGGTAAAGGAGGGCCTGCTGAGGTTAAGCGTACGCGTGATGGCAAATCATGCGCCTTTTGCTGTCCCGATGCATTTGCGCGTGCTTGCGGCTCCCCGGCTGGCAAAGGCAACATCACCAAACATTTGAAGCAATGGCGGGAAAGCGGCAGCCCATGCTATGAAGCTGTCTTCGCCTTTGGTATTCCGGGCTTAGTCTTGCCAGACGCCAAGCAGCACGACCTCCGACGGCGTGCAGGAGAGGTGCCGACTTTCAACGCAAGCATAAGCTGGTTGCACAAGAAGAAAGCGCGGCTGAAAGCTTTTCTCCATGGAAAACCGATACCAGATGCCCCGGAACTCAGTCAAAATGGCCTCCACTTCGCGTGGCAATGCAGGTCAGGACAGGGCGCGCGCAAAGTGAAGGGTAGTTATTGGGCTAAGATGCTGCAAGGCCAAGTCCAAAAGCATGGACAGCTTCGAGCCAGAGAGCCCAAAGCAACTAGACGTGTAAGGCAGCAATGGTGGTCCTTGCGGCGTCAATTGAAGAAGCTCGTGCTTCCCATTGCAGCCCTCGGCCGCCCTTTTCCTCCGGTGGTTGCCTGGGCAATAGACGAGAAGATCATTCCTGATCAAGAGAATTATGTTGAACCCTGAAACAACAATGTGGCCCCAGGCATTTTAGCAGAACATACTTGCTATTGGCCCATGAGACCGGACAGCGGAAGGCCATAGCTTTAATTCGATCGGCCATGAAGCTACCCTGCTGGCAAAGTGACAAAAAGAAGCGTCTCTTGCAACCACACGTATCTTGTGATTTCCAGATACAAATACCAGTGTGAGCGATTGCTGCTATGGTGCAGCATTCAGCACTGCCTGAAATGACGCTTTTCTATCACCGACGTGTGGATTAATCAGGCTGGCATTCAAGCTTGCAGTAATGTGGTTGTTTTATGTTGTTTTGGTCAAAATTTTCCGGCTTGTCCCTTTTCGTTTCGGCCCATATAGCAATTCGCTAAACTCCCCGTATCTCAAAAACCGCGCGCCGTGTCGGCCCGACTATGAGCTTTCGCCTGCTTGAATGGGCATGGCGTCGGGATAGCGGCCCTGCGGGATGGTCGCTGCTGCACGGCTCGAATACAAACGGGAAAGGCACGAGGGCCGCGCCTGCCTGGCCCATGCGCAGCTTTTACATCGGGGACAGGGGCCTTCTCTTTGAGTGTCGCTTTCACGGATTGTGTCAGGACGATCCAGGCATAGCTGTGTATGACGCCGAAGAATGGCATTGTGAAATTGCAGTCGCCTACCCGGGCGGCGAAGTATATGTCCGAGAGGTCCCGCCTGCTTTTGTGGTTACGTGCAGCTTGGCTCCCACAGGAAGCCAAAGCCTGAATACCGTCTTCACGACACTTGCTGGCTCGGAGATGCTGCGTATCTGCGTGGATATTGACTTTTGTGCAGAACGACTCACCAGGAGAGTTGCCATTGCCGCTGCAGCACAAGGGCGTCTGCAAAGCCGCAACCAAGCAGTTCAAATAGTCTGGGCAGGGAATCCTGGGGCAGTGGTCACCCTGATAGTTCCCGATGTAATCTGGGAAGAGTTGCAGCAACGTGATGCCCAGCGCGACTGAGTAGCGAACTCTTGTCTTTAAAACGGCTACGCTGCAAGCCGATTGCACTGACGAAAAAAGTTTCTGCGAGATACACCTTTTTCCAGGATTCCAAACATCACCGATCCATATATGGAATTCAACGCTCCGGGTAACAATCTAAAGTGAAAAGTCTCGGCCAGTGCCCTTGACTTAAGACAAGCTGAGTGACAAGGCTTCGGAAGGCGGACACATCACTTAACACACGGAAACAAGACGGGACACGAGCTGGGGAATAAGGCCTCGGGAAGGGGGACGCAAAGCACAGTATTGATGCACCGGATCTGCTTCAGTGATTTTGGCTCAATCCTACTGCTATTGTTGTTGCCGCGCGGAAAAATTCTCGGACTTATTATATAAGGATTTGAAACGGGCAATCCATCCCTCGGTGAGTGAACGCAATGTCAGAACATCTGTTCTTTGAAGAATCAAGCAAATAACGCAGCTGCTCTCTTGCCTGCAAGGGCATATCCTCAGGCCATGGGAAGGCCGACAGTGTGAATGGGCAGTCCTCGAGAATGCAGTGACCAACGAGGAAGAAAGGATTTTAGGGTTGGGAGATTTCGGGGTTAAAGGATTTTAAGGCTAACGGTTGAAGGATTTTCGGGTTAAAGGATTTTAGGGTTAATGGATTTAGGGTTAAAAGGTTTTTAGGGTTACTGTAAAGGCTCTTACGGTTAAAGGATTTTAGGGTTAAAGGAATTCAAGTCTAAAGGATATCAGGGCTAAAGGAATTATATAAGGGTTAAAGGGTTTTAGGGTTAAAGGAATTCAAGTCTAAAGGATATCAGGGCCAAAGGAATTATATAAGGGTTAAAGGGTTTTAGGGTTAAAGGAATTCAGGGTTAACGGATTTTAGGGTTAAACGATTTTAAGGTTAAAAGATCTAGGGTTAAAGGATTCTAAGTTCAAATGATTTTAGGGTGAAAGGATTTTTGGGTTAAAGGGTATTAGGGTTACGGATTTTAGCGTTAAAGGATGTTAAAGGATTTCAGGGGCAAAAGATTTTAGTGTGTTTAAATGCGGTTCCCAGAACAAAGAATAAAAATAGTACATATCCTCTAGAGGATAAGGAGATAGGCCCGTCTTATCATCGAAATGCCTGGAACCGGCAATTTTGGACCAAATCCTGGCCAGGAACTCTTTTGAAGCTCGATTTTGGCATTTTGGCAGCTCCAGGTCGCTATTAAAAGTTTCCTTTTGGGAAAGGCTGAAAACGACCATTTTGGGCCAAATCCAGGCCAGGAGCCCTTTTGGAGCTCGATTTGGGCATTTTGGCAACCCTCCACTTTCTTATTAGAAGTATCCTTCTGGAAATCATTGGAAAAAGCAATTTTTGGCCAAATCCTGACCAG